AAAGAAAGAAAGAAAGAAAGAAAGAAAGAAAGAAAGAAAGAAAGAAAGAAAGAAAGAAAGAAAGAAAGAAAGAAAGAAAGAAAGAAAATAATTGACAATTAATATTATACTCTTCATACCCTTATTATGACGGCTCCACCTACCTTCGCTTTCATTGACAGCATCTTTTTGTAGTACTGTCCCTCCTTGTGTATGTGACACCTTTCCAAAGTAAAGTAATAAATGAACTGCTAGCTCTAAATATGCATTGCAATGGTTATGCACGTGCTGTAAGTCAGTACCGTATAATTCCTACTCATACGATAACCATTCTTATGGAAAGCCATTTCAATGTTACGGCATGTCGTATCGTGTACATGCTTTAAGTCAGTACCATATGTTTCCCACTCATACGATAACCATTCTTATGGAAAGCCATTTCAATGTTACGGCATGTCGTATCGTGTGTGTGCTTTAAGTCAGTACCGTATGTTTCCCACTCATACGATAACCGCCCTATGAATAGCCGATATTATGGATGCATGCAAATATGAGATGCAAATGAGACAACAAGCATGGCAACAACCCGACAAGCCTTACTTTTTTAAAACAAAAGAATATCTCATTGCGGACTCAATTGTAATCCACCTTTTCGGCGCTAGACGTCCTGTGGCATAAATTGTGTCTGATTGTGTTAAGGTCACCAAAAAGTTCGGACATCGTTCTCGGATTTCCATACAAATATACTGACTTTAAATGAACTATTTACTTGGTTTGTTTAGTTAGTTCTCTAAATACAAGTAATTTCTAGCTTGATTGAAGCTTTTCTTACTGCTGTTAAGAGAGCTAACTAAAGAAATCTATCTAATTTTTTTCTTTAAACTCAGTGAATTTGTATGGGAATCTGAGAACGATGTCCGAACTTTTTGGTGACCATAACACAATCCAACAAAGTGTTTACGACGTGACGGCTATTGCTGAAAAGGTGAATTACAGCTATAGAGTAAGTATACTTTCAGCATGTCAATTCATTACCTTCTCGGATTCGTTTCGTTTTTTCAAGTCTTTCAACTCTACGATTACCTCTGCCATGGTTCTCCTAATACCTTGTGGTGATAGTCTATAATAATACCAAAACATTTTAAATGCATTTTTTTCTCGTTCTAGTTGCAAAAAGAGGAAATTTTTAATAGCATAGTATCGCCTTAATGCTTGCTCGCTTGCTTTAGGGGGGGGGGGGGGGGGGGGGGGGGGGGGGGGGGGAGTAAGGGGGGTTATTTGAAGGAAAGCTAGCTAGGTTCAACACAGTTCAACAGCTCAACACAGTTATCGTGACACTATCATATACATGCCATAACACACGCAACATTGTATACCAAGTTATGGCGACCAGTTTGAATAACTATTGTTATGCAATGACTAGCGACTGACTAGCCTCGTGCTCACATGGAAACATGAAACAGCTTTCAAATTTATGATAGACTAGTCATTCAATAAGGACAGTTTTCAAATTGGTCGCCATATTTCGATTAGGTATCTAAGTAAAGAGATTTATGAAGTCACGCAAGCGTTAAACAAACTCAGTGACGTCTACACGGACTTACATTTTATAATAAAGCTAGCAGTGAAAAAACGGTCCCTACCGATATATCTTTCATCTAGAATGATTGCAAAAGTCGTTGTTTTAGCTCCTTTGTGGAATCAGTCTACCATTACGTCAATAATAAGGAGCCATGCTCTCTAAACAAAAATTTTGTCTCAAATTTGAAAAATATTAAAATGCTTTACTGTTAAAATTCGGCCGCATTAGTCGTCTTTGTGCCTTGATCTGATAGATATTCTTTTCTCTCTCATAAACCACAGGCCAGTTGTAATAACTGGAATACTTTTTGGAACTCTAACTTATATTACTTACCATTGCATGTTAAAAAATCTTCACGCTCAGTGTGGCCGGATGTCGCTACTGAGCTCGGTTGCAAAGCACAGGTAGCCCAAGCTTGGTTTCTGTGGTGTCATGTTATAAGGAAATGTATGGGTATTCTTCAAATATTTCAATAAAATCATTGAAACGTAAAATAAAGCCTCGAAAATTCGCCTGATCATTGAGAAATAGCACCTCTTTTGCTCTGTGTGGTTATTTTTTGAATTTAGCCCGTTTTAAGGATTTTTTCACTTATAACATGACACCATAGAAACCAAGCTTGGGCTACCTGTGGTCATAGTAAAGCAATGGTAAAGAATGTACTTGTAAAGTTTTATTCATTACACCAGCGTTACATACCTGGACAAATGTCTCTTTGGAAGGATAATATTCATAAGTATATATATATTTATAATATTTCTAAAAAAATTGACAAAAATCGTAGCAAAAATTGCAGAAAAAATCGCCAGCTTAAAACGGGCCTTTTAGACCTAGTAAGCCAAAAATAACACAAAAAAATGAAAGATCTGCAAGGCTTATACTAAGTTGAATACTTAAAAACAACAACCGTGTAAAATTTAGTAAAATATTATGTATAATAAAAAGTATATCGAAAGCATATCAGAATTTTTTTTAGTTTACTAGTATATGCTTGAAATCTTAGCCAAACATTTTTCTGCGATTTACCGATTTATAAATTAGTGCACTTTCCGCACTTCCCGCTTTCCTCGTTTTACCGCGACCCACCTGCTTCCTTATAAACGTCTAAAGACTTGGGCTTAGGAGTGAGTGAATCAGCGAGTGTACTACCGCTACGTTCAACCAAGCTAGTGCAAGAAGCCCAAGTCATTTTTATGTTATTTTTGGCTTACTAGAACAACAAAAGACAGAAAAGAGATTATCAGCACGGTGGTTTTCAATACATTGACTGCTTCAAAGGGAAGGATTTAACGGTCGACATCAGGAAAACAGTTGTGTTTTTTTAAATCTTTTATTTTGTAAACGTATTACAACAACTTTGGTGCAAGTTTTAGAGTCTAAAATGACATTCAACTTCATTTTAAAATTAAATGGCTATGCATGGCTGCTCAATCCAAAATGTTAATTTCTTCGTTGTAAAACAAAGTGGATATCACTGAGGTCAAGTAAAATTCTAAAAAACGTTTTATTTTAGATTAAAAAATACTTTTTAAAGTTTGCCAAATTATTTTTTCCGATTTTGCAAAAACCGTCGCAAAAGCCATTTAGTTGCAGGTGTGAAGTTTTAACCAATAGGAAGCATTTTTTACTACCTGTCAAAAATTAACCAATCAGATGTCTTGTCAGTTTGTTTTGTCCGAAGATCTTATATATTTTTTAGCCGGTTTTTGAATCAAAATGACGGCCTAAAATTTCTTAATCTATCGCTTCTAAAAAATAAATTAACAAACAAACGAACAAATAAAAACCCTGTTCTTGTTTTCTATTTTCTATAGTCTGTCCTCTAAGGGACGTGAACAATTTAAAAAAAAAATTTGCTACGTTAAATTGAAGTTGTTGAGGGTCACGTACAAACGATTGCTTACATTTTCTTTCAGAATCCAACCACGACCAAAAAATAACAAATAAATGCTAAGATCCCGAAGAAGAATCCTCGTGGCACGAGGAACTGGAAAAAACAACTTATAGAAACGTTCACATTTAGTTTTTTATGATAAATATCGAAAACAAATGTAAGAAAATGTGTACAGGAATATATATACAATAGTGCCGTCCAATTCAAACTAAAGACCAATACAATACAAGCGCTAGCTTATAAATATAGGATAAATTATAATATTTCATCCAAGAGACCAGACACTAACAAAGATTTGATAAGGTTTAGCAACTACATAAATGTTCAAATCATTACTATATGATTACACGATCCTGGTTTGGTCGTACTTGTAGTCTTGAACAGCAGAAGGAGAGGCTCTTGCACTAGAGTACCTTACTATCAGGATTATTGCAGCAACGATGTAAAATATACCAAGGCTTCCAATCCAGGTAAGACCATTGAGACTTCCTGCATTAATGTCGAGCTTGAACACCACATACACTAACACATAGAGCATGGTGATAAGTATCACGAGTATTAACCCAAAGATAAACAATATGAGGGCTCTCCTTCGCCAAAACGACGAGAATTCTCTACCACTGTCAACGTCAATGCCATTAACGAATAGCCTGAACTTTCCCGCACAAGCGTCAATCGAAATCTTGTCCAACATGATCAGAAAACGATGGCTATCCTGCTGCCATTCGTACGAACCTCCTCGATCCATACAGCATAAAGGACTACAGCCGTTGAACTTGAGATGATAGTCTGGGAGTTCGCGACCGTTGACAAAGATTTCGCAGCGACTCTCGGCGCAGCATTTTGTATATAGGTTGATTTCGACGACATATTTCTGGTAATCGAGGCCGTTTCTTAAGATAGTAGTCCAAGTTGTTGTTCTGCAAGGTCTAGACATACTTCTTCGAACTCTGATTTGTTGTGAACCACTTCAAAACTTTTGCCTGAGTTCATCTGGGTATATTTATGCCTATGAATGACGTCATTCTCTTTTCAGTATATTTTTAGTGTGTATGATGAATTTTCGATWAAAAAAAAAAAGTCTAAACGTAGATGCATCTTTTAAAGTGAAACTATTCCAACTAAGGCCATCCGAACAAATTTTAGCTAATCAAAAATGGGAATCTAAAGAGTAGAATTGCTACAAATCGGACAAATATCTAAAAATATATATATAGGTTAACATAATGATGTCAGCTTATATTATCTACACAGGTAGCCCAAAGCAACGTCTTCCACCCACGCTTGACGTCAACAAATAATCACGATAAACCTGTTTAGCTTCATTGTTTGTTGTGCACGTTTCAGACCATGTGATACCACCCTTGGGAGTTCATTCTTTCATATGTAAATATGTTAAAATGTTTGTCATAAAAGAACTATTCTCAAGGGAATGTCATGTGAACTCAGGTGGGCAATTTGCACGGCCGATTTGCATGCAAATTAGTTTYGGAGGAAAAATGCAGGACTTAATTTCTTGTGATGGTTCTTGACTCTCAGTATGAGTGAGATTTTTTACGATTCGGAATCGCTGCATCATTTTACTAGTTTTCATATTATCGTTGAAGTGCGACCCGCGAAGCTGTTGATGTGTCGTTCGCCGGTTAGCATTTCAATGACTGTCAATCGAAGAATTTCACATATCAAAAAAGAAACAATATCTTGAGGGACTATAAGGGATATCTTACACCGAATAAGGATTTTAATTCCCTAAAATCCTCAATTCAATCCAAAATTGCACTCCACTTAGTTCAACTATTATCATAAAGTAGCCTGCGTGCAGCCAGACTTTTCTCTCTTATAGTTAACAGTCAGTTAGAGGCCGGCTGCACGCAGACTATCATAAAGCCGTTCATAATAAATTCAGTTTATTACGTAATCATTACAAAAATAAATTATCGTGTTTACCGCTAACCTTGTAAGGCTTGTAGCTTCTTCCAAAAATTGTGCAGCCCCACCATTTTTTCTCATAAAAATTTTCCCATCCCCCCTTTAGTTTTCCTACCAAAATTTTCCCATCCCCCCTTTAGTTTTCCTACCAAAATTTTCCCGATCCCCCCTAAATTTCACCTGAGTACCTATTGTCAAGAGACTTCTCATAGCTCTCCACTTTATAAATAATTTAATAAGAGCGCCTCCTGCAATTGAAAGCAAAAAGTACAGTAACATGAATAATTTAGCATGAAAGCATAATTTACTCAGTTTTACTAGCTGAAATTCCTAAGAAATATAGTGAGAAACTAAACTTTCAAACTAAAATAAATCTAGAATGTTCAGTATACTCGAGCTAGGCTCTTAAGATCAGTCAACTAGAAGTCATCGAGAACATATTTAATGCGTTGGAGTCAAGTTTAGCATATACATAGGATATTTATGTAAACAGTATCTCGCATTTTATATTCCCATTCAGCTGGTTATCGTCAAATGCGAGCTGGTGAATATTCAAATTCAGTATGGTGATAAGCGCTAGAGGGATTCCTAAATCTTATAACTGGGATTATCCCAATGATGATATAGGTTAAACCACTAAGAGCTAGAATATATCCAACGATTTCCACAAAGCTGTTACCATAAGTTGTGAGTAAAACAACAATGGTCAGTGCAGCACCGAGCAACAAGAAAACCAATCCAATGGCGATGACTTGGAAACCTTTTCGGAGCCAAAAAGTGTAGAATTCTCTTCCAGTATTCACGTCTATCCCATCGATAAACAATCTATATCCTCCCAATGACTTGGTAAAGGAAAGAAAATTGCCCATGAGGAGAAAATGATGCCCATCTTGCTCCCATTCGTATTTCCCTCCTCGACCATACAGTGGGCTGCAAAAATTGTACTTTAGCTCGTGAGCGGAATGTTCTTCGCCGTTCACAAAGATGTGATAGTTTTCGTTGCAACAGCCTATCTCTCGTAATAGCTGCACTGTATATAACCTGTTTTCTTGTCCTACTCTGAGGTTGTAGACCCAGGCGTTGGTTGTCTTACAGCATGGCATTTTTGCAGGCGGTACATTGGAGCAGGAAGCGAAGCTAGCACCTGTTGTCAGACAATTTCGAAACCATTCTTACCCTATTTTCATATTCCCCATAATGCTTTGCTTTTTAGGGTGTAACCGCGGTCAAAACGAACTGTTATAAAATAGGGATTTAGAGAGAAGTTTCTGTGCTTTGCAACCTTCCCCGCTCTTTAGCTTTCTTTCTTCATCTCTGCTCGCCTTCAAATTCCTTCCAAGATCTCTCTCCCTTTCTCTGTCTTCTTTCCCCTTACATAATCAATTGATAACATCACAATTCATGATTTTTTTCCTATTTTTCTTTTTCTTTTCCTCTTATTTTCCAACCATATATTTTAGCCAGCCCAGTTAATTTAATGTGGGAAATAAACTTAGAATGAACTGATAATCTTTATTTTACTGATAAAGGACGAACATCTGATTATTGAAAAGTGTTTAATATTCGGAGTTGTTGCGAACGACCAGGGCCGTGACTAGGGGGGGGGGGGGGGGGATCGAGCACATGGTTCACGTGCACCCCCCCATAAAAGCTTAAGGTCCGCTCATCCATCTCCTTTTATTTTTCTTTTGGTTCTGCTTTCTTTCGGTTACCTTTCTTTTTTCTTCTTTTGGTTCTGCTTTCTTAAAAGAAACGATCAATGGTCCTATTTTATACGATGTGCACCCTCCCTGTAAAAGTTCTGGTTACGGCCCTGAAGACATAAACATCTTATATTTCCATTCCTTAGAAGCTACAATAAAGAAATTAACTGGCGCTAAAAATAAGTTACTTCAACTTTATACTATYAATATTACTGAATAAAAAGCATTTCTCTCTTTTTAACATTTTAACTATAAGTTTGATATTTTCGTTAGCTTGAATATCTTAACTAATATTTAACAAATAAAAATTCTTATTCCGTGCTCCATTCAGTGATAAAGCACAGTTTTTGACCAATCAGTGCGCGCGTAYTATCCTAACTACATAATGATGTGTATTGCATTGACTATTCTCAAGAGAATATGAACTAAGAGATGGAATCCCCGTGCCCCATCATGTGCACACTTTGGTGCTATTTTTAGAATGTATTCTAAAAATATCATCCAATGATATCATTTATTTGATCGTTTGATTTTCTGTACGCGCGTAGTACGCGCGCGCTCTACGCTGTTTGCTAACGTTTTCTTCTGCTTTTCTTATGTTCAAATGTTCAAATCTGCCCTCAAGATGACGATGTAGGTCGAAAGCTTTGGAAAATAAATGTAAAAATACTCCAGAAAGTTGAACAAATTACTACTTCAATTTCCTGTCGTATTTGCCAAGCTTTCGACGTGCACATTCATATTCAGTGTGGAGAGTCGCGCGAAATAACGGAGAACCACCAAAAAAGAGGAAACAGCGTAGAGCGCGCGCAGAAAAACAAATCGTTTAAAAATAGCATCAAACTGTGCATATGATGGTTACAAGGCTATATAGGGGGGATTCCTTCTCTTAGTTCATTTTTTCTTGCTATTCTTTCACAGGCGATCAAAAATCACTCTAGGAAAAAAACGTTTTTTTTTTGGCATGCATGTACTCAGTTAGTTTTTTTTAAGATCCACATCAAGCCTATTATTGGTTCCCCGATAACATGCAATCAGGGGGATACAAAATATTGAAGATCCGACCAGCAGCCAATTCATCCACAATGGACTAGCTTGTGGAAACATGAAGCCCAGAAAGAAAAAGAAGTTGATGGTATAGACTGATAAAATCAGCACCCCAGATGTTATTCCTTCGGCAACTGGGAATGCACATTCTGCAGCGATTTCCATGATTAAGGGGACTGTGCCACCAAATAGAACCACTTGTAGGATTCCAGAGGTGTAGAATACTGTGTTGGTTAAAGGAATGATTTGTTCGCATGCTAGGGTTAAGACCATCTGAGCACATGAAGTGGTGATAAATAAACCAACAAGGATGAGTTTGGCGTGACGTTTCATTCTGTCTGTGTACCTAAGGATYAGAGTATCATCAAGGTATTAGTGTTAATGTGATTCATTTGTTCAATTATCTATCATCCCATTCACTCATTCATCCATCCATCCATCCACTCATCCATTCTTTCATTCATCCATCTATTGATCCATCAATCCATCCAT